CAGAGAACAGAAGCCAGCTGGGAAGAAGATGGTGAGAACACACAGGAAACATTGGGGCAGCTAGGGCCTGAAGGAGGGCCACAGGGTGACAGATCCACTGGAAGACATGGAGAAGGATACTGGGTACAACTCCCTGTTAGAGTAGAGAGAGCAATGAGTCAGTCCGACAAACCTCACTTCTCTTTTGCCCCAGATTCTCTCTCTCTCTTTTTTTAAAAATTTAGACAGAGTCTCACTTTGGTAGAATGCTGTGGTATCATAGCTCACAGCCAACTTCAAACTCCTGGACTCAAGTGATCCTCCTGTCTATCTGAGCCTCCAGAGTAGCTGGGACTATAGGAGCCTACCATAACACCCGGCCATTTTTTTTTCAAGACAGAGTCTCACTATGTTGCCCTTGGTGGAATGCCGTGGCATCACACCTCACAGCAACCTCAAACTTTTGGGCTTAAGCGATTTTCCTGTCTCAGCCTCCCAAGTAGCTGGGATTACAGGCGCCTGCCACAGTGCCCAGCTTTTTTTTGGTTTCAGTTGTTTAGCTGGCCCGGGCTGGTTTTGAACCTGCCTCCTTCGGTACATGTGGCTGGTGCCGTAACCATGTGCTACAGGTGTCGAGCTGGCTATTTTGTTTTTTAGAGATGGGGGGGGTCTCACTCTTGCTCAGGCTGGTCTTGAACTCTTGTGCAATCCGCCCATCTCAGCCTCATAGTGTGCTAGGATTACAGGTGTGAGCCAAAGCACCTGGTCCCTGCCCCAGATTCTTTATGTCTAGGCCCTGTGCTAGGCAGACAGGGGTAGGGAAGGGGAGGCCACCTTCTAAAAGGTTGAGCCCTGTACCTGTGACCTGCCTATCCTCTAATGCACAATTTAGCCCTTTGTACAGCCTGGGTGTGTCTTCTGATCCACAATGAGTGTAATGAGTGTCTGGGTGGAGAATAAGGAGTCATCTTTTGTTCCTATGTTCTAGCCCCAGTGCCCTCCACATAGCTTCCATATTCAAGGAGTTTACAATCCTTGTAAGAGTGTGAGACACAGTCACAAATAAAAGTCAGATACTGTGTCAACTTCCACTAACAGGCACCCATGGTGTGCCAGCCTTTTCTAAAATGCTCACACCTGCCCTCTGCAGCTGGTGTGATCATCCCTGGATTTTAGAGATAAGAGGATCAGGGAAAGGTGTCCCAGACCATTACAGAGGTAGGATGACACCCCAGGTTTCCTGACCATACCATAGCAGTGTCCCAGCTACCCAACCCCACCTCAGTTTCTTTACCTTTTTTTTTCTTTTGAGGCAGAGTCTCAAGATGTCGCCCTCAGTACCGTGCTGTGATGTCACAGCTCCCAGCAATTTCAAACTCTTGGGCTTAAGTGATTCTCTCACCTCAGCCTAACAAGTGGCTGGGACTACAGGCACCCACCACAATGCCTGGCTATTTTTTTGTTGTAGTTGTCATTGTTTTAGCTGGCCCGGGATGGGTTTGAACCCGCCAGGCTGGGTGTATGTGGCCGGCACCCTACCCACTGAGCTAAGGGCACTGCCAGTTTCTTTACTTGTTTAATGAAGGGGACTGGCATCCCAGACTAGACAGCATAGCAGGAGCTTAGTGCTCCTGCTATGACCCCCTGTAACCTCACTGCTGCCTCATTTCTGCAAAGAGAGACAGGTGCAGCAGCTGTCTCCTCGCTCCCCCACACCAAGCAGCAGAAGTTGTCTGCCAGACTCAAAGCTGAAGAATCTCTTTGTGTAGAAGGTCCCCAAGAGGGAAGGGAGGAGAGGACTCATCTGTCAACAAACATTTGCTGAACAGCTTGCTGTTAGGCCAGGCAAGAGCTAGTATATTTCACGCTAGGAGTTCCTCACCCAGCATCATCCTGTACACAAGCTGTGCTTAGGCCTGTGCATTCATTTCCCCCCCCCCCCAAAAAAAGAGGCCACCACCTCCACCAGATGTTAGACCCGCTCACCACATGTGTATTACCTTTATTTTACAGATAAGAAAACTAATCTCAGAGGGATTGGATGAGTCACTCAAGGGAACCCCACTACCAACTTGCAAAGATCAACAGGATGATGCCTGTTCTCGAGATGTCTTTAAACAGGAGCCTGGTGATTCCCAGTTCATCTCTCCAGGCTCTGCTCTGAGGCCCTTCTTGGGGGAAACCTTCCCTGCCACCTCCACCAGCCCCGCAGTGTTCCTTGCACACCAGATCTTTCATGCATCTTATTACTCTCCTTTTCCAGTCACTGAAAAGCATGTGGTATCCCTGACCACAACATTCCCCTATACCAACCTTTGCTTGTGCTGTGTTTTCTGCCTAGATCACCCAACCCCACCACCACCAAGCTGCTTGAATTACTACTGTTCCTTCAAAACACTGTTTAGAAGTCACCTAGCCGGGCTTGGTGCCTGTAGCTCAAGTGGCTAAAGCGCCAGCCACACACATCAGAGCTGGCGTGTTTGAATCCAGGCTGGGCCTGCCAAACAATGACAACTGCAACCAAAAAATAGCCTGGCCTTGTGGCGGGCTCCTGTAGTCCCAGCTACTTGGGAGTCTAAGTCTTAAGCACAGGAGTTGGAGGTTGCTGTGAGATGTGACGCCCTCTACCCAGGGCGACAGCTTGAGGCTCTGTCTCAAAAAAAATTCACCTAACCTGGAAAACTATTCCTGACCTTCCTGAGCAGTGTTGGGGGTTCCTCCCGGGATTCCCATAACACTCCATACATGCAACACAAGTCATACGAGGTCAAAGTTCCATTAATATCTCATGAATGAATGACTTTCCAGCAGCATCACCCCAGGCTCCAAGAGCATATTCTGGTGATCACTCTGGACCGTAACTGTGGGCCCACATGAGGTATCTTCGAGGAGAGCTGGGGCCCGCCCTTCTCAACCATTATCCCCAACTCCTGCAATAGCAACACGGAAGACCACCAGCAAATACTTTGTTGACAGACTGAGCTGATTCGGAGTTCATAGCACACCGCTACAACTGTTCAACAGTCATCTGGATGCTTATTGACGCTGAGGGTTCTTTCCTTGCAGCGGACCCTCGGCACCCACCCTTCAGCTCCAAAAGCAGACCCTCTCTCGGACAGGGTTCCCTCCCTGATCTGCAAACCGCTTTCTCTAAATGAATGCTGAACAAGACCACATTCCCCGCTACAGAAACGCAGTCCCCGCCTGAGAGGCCGCCCCAGCCGGCTAGGGGCACAAGTCTGCGCACTCGGGTTGGCGAGGTCACCGCTGCCGCGCGCACCCGGCCCGCCCCGTTCGGACCGTTTGAATCTCCCGCCTGCGCGGGCGCCACGGGGCGGACGTAAGAAGCGCAGCGGCGGAGGGGCCGCGCGGCCCTTTCTCCGGTGAGGCGGGGCCGGGCTGGCAGCCTGGGCGCCCGGCGGGGCCAGAGGCTCGCGCGCCAGCACAGCACCTTCCTGCCGCCCGCTTCACGTGGGGCCGGCTCCGCGGGACCCAGGCGGGAGCCGGCAACGACTTCAGCCCGCCGCAGACCAGCCAGTGCTCCGACTGTGGCCGCCCCACGCGCCGCCTTCCACCCAGACCCTCCGTGGGTCACAGGCGCGACCTACCTTGGTGCAGATCAGCCACCAGGAACTCCAGCGCCCGCCAGCCGGGCCGCGAACTGCCCCAGAGCATGCGCTCTGCGGGCCTCCGGCCTCGACCCCGGGCGAGAAAGGAAAACAAAGAGCCCAGCGCCCCCTGGCGGCCACCCAGAGAAGTGCAAGTGGCACGCTCTGGCTAGGGAACGCTTGGCCAAGATCTCTTTGCCCTGGCTGCGGGGGGTGTGTATTTTGGAAACACCAAATCAGGGCAAATGAACTGATAAAGATTACTTGAATCTAGGATATTTAGGCAAGATCTTATGGATAAAAAATATACTTATCTTCCTTGCCCTCAAGAGGGTCTCCTTGGCCAAGTGCAATGGCTCAGGCCTGTAATCTGGGAGGCTAAGGTGGGAGGAGTCCCTTGAGCTCAGGAGTTCAAGACCAGCCTGAGCAAGAGTGAGGTCCTGTCACTACTAAAAATAGAAAATAAGTTAGCTGGGCAGGCGCCTGTAGTTCCAGCTACTTGGAAAGCCAAGGCAGGAGAATTGGTTCAACCCAGAAGTTTGAGGTTGCTGTGAGCTAGGCTGACACCATGGCACTCTAACCTGGGGCAACAGTGAGACTGTGTCTCAAAAAAATAATAAAAAATAAATAAATAAGAAAGAAGGTCTCCATGGAGAAGAATGAGAAATAAAGATTATCAACAACCACAGGGGGCTATGACAAGGGTACACAAGGGGCATCTAACTCAACCTAGGGCTTATAAGTAGCTTTCCAAGTTAAGTCTGAGAGGGCAAGGCATCCTAAGAGAAGTGGCCTTGCAATGACAGGCAGACACGAGAACTCAGGGAGGTTGTGGGAAACTGCCAAGTAGTATACTGGAGCTGAGGTGCCCACGGGAGTGACAGGGTCTTGTGTGGCTAAGGAATGCAGCCTCTGTCCTGAAGCAATGGAAGGGTGTTATGGAAGGAATCTGAGCATGAGAATGACATGATCAGAGTTTTGAGAACAAAACAGAGAATGGATTTGAGGAAAATGGGAGGCAAGGGTAGGGGAAGTAAGAGGAATGAGAAAGAAAAAGAAGACAAGGTATGAACTGGGCTCAGGAGCTGGAGATTGAAAACAGGCATCAAAGTACACTCTTGTTACATTCTTTCTTTAGGATCTTTTCACAGTTCTTCAGGACTTCAAGCGTACCCTGTGAGGTGACCTCTCAGGCCATTTGATTGTGTCTGGGGATATCCCAAGTCAGGAAAGTTACCTATGCAAAAAGGTATTTTCTCCATTTCATGTTTATTCTGGCTCTGAAAGTCATCATATGGCACCCAAACGACACAAACTCTAGACCGACACTTTTGTTGAGTGTTTCACCAACTGAATTTCTTGTACTCTACAAAGCCCACCCCAAGGCACTTCCCTATCTGCAAGGTCTCTTACCTCTCCAAGTTTACCTCTGCTTCCATCATGCAATCCTTTTTTGGATGATATACTGTGAAGTTTCTCCAAGTTTTAACCCTGGGATCTTTAATCTCTTTCCGCTGTCTTCCTCCAAGATCTTAATCATTCATGAAGCTTAATGTGATTATAAAAAATGATGATGATTATTATTGCCTATTTTGTAAAACCTTATTTTATTTATTTTTGAGACAGAGCCTCAAGCTGTAGCACTGGGTAGAGTGCCGTAGTATCACAGCTCACAGCAACCTCCAACTCCTGGGCTTAAGGATTCTCTTGACTCAGCCTCCCGAGTAGCTGGGGCCACAGGTGCCCACCACAACGCCCAGACATTTTTGGTTGTAGTTGTCTTTGCCATCTGGCAGGCCCAGGCTGGATTCGAACCCACCAGCTTTGCTGTATGTGGCTGGCACCTTAGCCGCTTGAGCTACAGTCGCTGAGCCTTATTTTATTTTTTGAGATAGTCTTATGTTGCCCTTGGCAGATTGCCATGGTGTAAATAGCTCACAGCAACCTCAAACTCTTGGGCTTAAGCAATTCTCTTGCCTCAGCCTCTCAAGTAGCTGGGACTACAGGTGTCCACCACAACGCCGGGCTATAAAATCTTCTATTTTAGGCTCAGTGCCTATAGCACAGTGGTTACGGCACAGGCCACATACACAGAGGCTGGCAGGTTGGAACCTGGCCCAGGCCAGCTAAACAACAATGATGACAACCTCTGGGGCAGCGCCTGTGGCTCAAGTAGGAAGGCACCAGCCCCATACACTGAAGGTGGCGGGTTCAAACCCAGCCCTGGTCAAAAACTGCCAAAAAAAAAAA